ATGAGTGTGTCTGGGGATGGGTGGGGGGTATGAGAGGAGGCCACGAGTGTGCAGTGTGTGTCTGAGAGAGGGAGTGGGAAACTGGCAGCAGGGGCTAGGGGGTCTTGACTCACTGGTTGTGTGTCTGCCTCTGGCTTTGGGCAGCATGCATTACCTGTGCCCGCATAACATCAGAGGACCTGGAACCCATAAGCATCCATCCTGGGGTAACCCAGAAAGGATGTCCCTCCCCCACCACTGTTGCCAGGGAGGCAGAAGGGGCCTCCGTCCCGAGGGAATCTCAGCTTCCGGAGCCCCGTTCCTTATATGGTGTTCTGCTTTTCTCTGCCTCTCCTGACTGCATAAGGCTGCCAGCACCCCTTCCGTCGGCTACCGCCTCCTCCTTCCTCCCCCTCCTCCCCTCCTCCCCCCCCCCCCCCCCCCCCCCCCCCCTCTCCTCCCCCTTCTCCGTCCTTCCCCCTCCTTCCTTCCCCCTCCTCCCCCCAACCCTCTTCCATCCTCTCAGAAGTCTTGGAGCTTCTGACCGGGTTCCCTCCGTGGCCTGGAAGGTTCAGGGAGCAGGACCCCTTCATCTCCTCCACATCCGCAGGGAGCAGCTTCCAGATTTCTCTGGAGGTACTACATGGAGAAGTTCTGGCCCTCACCACAGGCGTGGGAGTGGGGGCACCGGGCAGTCCTGTCCAGCCATGGCCACACTGGTGTCACACATGCACACACACGGGGAGGGGCGAGGACCAGCCCCGCGCGCCCAGACTTGAGAGCCCCCTACAGCGGTAGGCAGGAGCTAGAGGCCACAGCTGGGAAAGCACACTTGGGGACTTGGGGACACTTGGGCGTGCTTGCACTCGCCCGGCACAGGAAAGCTCCTTGAAGCCTTCAGCTCCAGGGAAGGAGGGTATAGATGGCTGTCGGGGTGGTCGCCAGGGCTCCTCCGTGGCTGGACATCCGGCCACGCCGGCCCAGGCAGGGGCGGGGGCAGTGAGGCCCCGAGAGAGCAGAGTCCAGCACCACCCCGCCCCCTAGTACGGACGGAGAGGAGGGGGCCCACCCGGAGACCCTGGGGGAGGTAGGGGCTTCTTCCTCCTAACCTTTGGGTGGGTGGGGGCAGCTCACTACCCGCTCCAGGCCCCCGCGGGCTCACACCTGCGCCGCCCCGCCGGTCGCGGGCAGGAGGGGGGTCGCTGGGTCGCGGCACCTTCCCTCGCCCCGCAGGCTGAATGAGCCGGGGAGGGGGCGTCGGGAGCCCGCAGGCGGATTAGTCACCCGGGCCGCTGGCGCGTGCAGGGGGTGGGTCCTCCCCGGGCGCCGGGCGCGCGGGCGGGCGCGGGGGGCGGGGCGCGCGGGGCGGAGAGCCCGGCCGGGACCAATGGGAGCGGGGGCTCGGCGAGGGGGCCGCCCACGGCCGCGCGGCCGCATAAAGAGCCGGCGGCGGCTGCAGGGCGCAGAGCTCGGCGCCGCGGCTCTCTGCTCCTCCCCGCTGCGCCGCACACTCTTCCGCGCTCTCTCGCCGCCGCTGCCGCCGCTGGACCGAAGGGACCGTCCTGGCTCCACGGCACAGCCGGTCCGCGAGGACTTTGCAGCCTGCCGCCCCTCGCCAGTCCGATCGCCGCGGCCACCTGCGCACCGATGGAGCTCGACCACATGACGAGCGGCGGCCTCCACGCCTACCCCGGGCCGCGGGGCGGGCCAGCGGCCAAGCCCAACGTGATCCTGCAGATCGGTAAGTGCCGGGCCGAGATGCTGGAGCACGTGCGGAGGACCCACCGACACCTGCTCACCGAGGTGTCCAAGCAGGTGGAGCGGGAGCTGAAGGGGCTGCACAGGTCGGTGGGGAAGCTGGAGAGCAACCTGGACGGCTACGTGCCCACCGGCGACTCGCAGCGCTGGAAGAAGTCCATCAAGGCCTGCTTGTGTCGCTGCCAGGAGACCATCGCCAACCTGGAGCGCTGGGTCAAGCGGGAGATGCATGTGTGGCGGGAGGTCTTCTACCGGCTGGAGAAGTGGGCCGACCGCCTGGAGTCCATGGGCGGCAAGTACCCGGTGGGCAACGATCCGGCTCGCCACACCGTCTCCGTGGGCGTCGGGGGTCCGGAGGGCTACTGCCAGGAGGCGGATGCCTACGACTACACCGTCAGCCCCTACGCCATCACCCCGCCGCCTGCCAGCGGCGAGCTGCCCGGGCAGGAGCCCGTGGACGCCCAGCAGTACCCGCCCTGGGGGGCCGGTGAGGACGGGCAGCCCAGTCCTGGTGTGGACACGCAGATCTTCGAGGATCCGAGGGAGTTCCTCAGCCACCTGGAGGAGTACCTGCGACAGGTGGGCGGCTCCGAGGAGTACTGGCTGTCGCAAATCCAGAACCACATGAACGGGCCGGCCAAGAAGTGGTGGGAGTTCAAGCAGGGCTCTGTGAAGAATTGGGTTGAGTTCAAGAAAGAGTTCCTGCAGTACAGCGAGGGCACACTGTCCCGGGAGGCCATCCAGCGGGAGCTGGACCTGCCGCAGAAGCAGGGGGAGCCGCTGGACCAGTTCCTGTGGCGCAAGCGGGACCTGTACCAGACACTCTATGTGGACGCCGAGGAGGAGGAGATCATCCAGTACGTGGTGGGCACCCTGCAGCCCAAGCTCAAGCGCTTCTTGCGCCATCCACTGCCCAAGACCCTGGAGCAGCTCATCCAGAGGGGCATGGAAGTACAGGACGGCCTGGAGCAGACGGCCGAGCCCACGGGCCCCCGCCTCCCCACTGAGGACGAGGCCGAGGCGCTCACGCCAGCCCTCACCAGCGAGTCTGTCACCAGTGACCGGACCCAGCCCGAATAGAGGCCAGCCCGGGCCCCAGCCTGCCCACCACACCCCGCCTGTGGCCTTTGCCAACCAGGACTGTCGAGCTGGGCTGACTCCTGCACAGGGGAGCCCCTCATCCTCACCTGGCTGGGCACCCGCCCTCAGCCTCCCAGCCTGACTCACACAGACACATGTCATCCAGCTGTGGGCAGTATCCCCCAAACAGCGAAGGGCCCCTGCCCTGTCATCCTCCCTCTGTCTGTCTTTCCCGGTCTCTGGCCCCATCCTGCACACTCTCTGGCCACCCCAGGACCTCCCAGCTTTGGTATTCTGCTCAGCCGCCCGGGCCCCCTGGGCACTCAGAAATCACATGTCCAGATGGCCCAGGCCAGTGAGCCCCGAGCCCAGGGGACACCCCAGAGCAGAAGCTAAGACAGCAGCAACACCACGGGAACCTTGGCTTTGGGGCGCCGCCTTCCCCTGGCAGTTGCTGTGCAGCCGGCCAGCCTCAGGCAGCGAGGCTCCCTCCTGCTGCGGAAAGCCAGAGCCTCAGGAGCGACTGACCACTGCGGCAGCAGCACTGCGCCGGCAGCAGCAGACCTGGCGTCCTGGTGCCTCCTGGCCCCTCAGGTGAGCTCCAGCCCCAAGGCACCCCCGCCAGGGGGCACTGTGGGGTAGGGAGGGCCCCGGGAACAGGACTGCCCCAGCAGGTTAGCTGCAGGGATGGGGTGGGGGAGGGCTGCAGCAGGGAGTTGTGGGGAAGGAGCGGAGACCCCAGGGATCAGGGAGAAGGGCCAGGGTGGGCGGCGGGGCGGTGGGACGGCGGAGCCGGCTCTCACACGACCCGGTGCTCTCTCTTTCCTCAGCACTAGTGATTCACCGCAGCCTGGAAAAGGATCCGCTGGGCTCGATGACTCACCCGCAGCCGGGGGAGGGTCCCACAGGGCCTGAGTCCTCAAACTCAGCTGAGGAGCCAGGAGAGTGACGACAGGTATGGCCGCTCTCTCCACTGAGACCCTGCCCCTGCCCGCCGCCCCTCCCCCCAACACAGTGCTCTGGGCAAG